GATTGTGCATCGGTATCACTAATCAATTTGATGAATCAAATTATTTTGGTAAAGTGTCTTAGTCTCTTGTCTAAATAATAATAATAAGATTGTACCAAAATAATAATAATAATAATAATAATAATAATAATAATAATAATAATAATAATAATAAGATGGCCGAACTACTGAGCTATCTATATATATATAATAAGAATTAACATTTACCATAAATAATAGTAAGGAAAAGTCAACCACATTTATTATATACTATTTTCAGTAACTTTTACATTTTACATTTTAATTTTAATTCATTCTCAAGAAATTGGATGGTTCCTAAATTAATGAGTTTTAAATGCACGTATCATGTTTCAAAAATTATAAATCATTTAAAATCGGAGGGTTCCTAAATTAATGGTTACAAACTTTTCAAAGTTGTATATGGCATCTTTTCTTTTTGATTTTTAGTAAAAAAATTATTTTAAATATATATATTCTAATCCAAAAATTCAATCATGTTAAATATATATACATATATTGAACGTTGAAAATATTTTTTAAATTGTATACTCAATTAATTAATCTTAATTTTTTTTTAATTACTATATTTATTTTTTATTAATATGCATAAAATAAAAATAAATAGTTCATCTTTAGATATATAATTTATAATCTTAATATACTATCATTTGGTGTAGACATATGAATCATAAAATATTTTTATTTCATTAAATTAAATATTATATTTAAAGAAAATAAGGAACTTACTTTGGATCAATCGGGTGATTGAATTAGGGTACTGCCCACTTTGATTGAATTACTTTTAGGTGATATTTAAAATAGTCAAAAAACTTGACACAACTTGGTTGGTCCGAGGTAACTAAGTTATGTATCAGTTTGACCAGACCAAATTGATTATTGAACCTAAATATAAATTTTAATATTGAAAATACTTTATTACGTGAATGTGATGTACTCCAAACTTCAAATAATCATATTAACAATACTTTTATGACAACATGAATAATGATTTATGAATATTTATATATCATTTTATTATTATTTATGTGAACAAAATATTTATTTCATTATCATTTTTATTAATGTACAGTAAATATAAGGTTTTCAGAATCGGACCGTCTTGTGGTTGTTCAGATTTTAATACATAATACTTTAATATATATATATATATATATATATTACTTTTTGTAATAAATTTAAATAAAAAGGGTTACTTAAATATCTAAACAATTTATAAATTCAAATGTTTAAACTAATTGATAAATAATTTATAAATCTCTATTTTATTTAAATATGTAATTTTATTTAAAATAATTTTTCATATAACAAAATTTGTTTAGAAAATCGTATCGATCTTACCAGTCCAACATACTGGTGTTGGCGGATTTGATAGTAAATATTTTATTCAAGCGCAGTAAATCGGTTATAAACCGATTCTCGGTCCATCCGGTCGGACTGCGTCCAACCCGGTTTAATTTATAAATAATGGGTAAATCATGATTAATGTTATTTATTTATTTAATTTATAATACAATCAAAATATTATTTTCCCATGCATCGCAGGCCACGTACTAATATTTTTTAACCATGTATAAATGGTGCAGGTCGCAAATCTATAGATATATAATAAGAATTAACATTTACTAAAAATAGTAGCAAAAAAATAGGTAAGAATTTAATGCAGTCTATAAATAGTAAGTTTTATTATTTTTCTTATTTTTTCTTTAAAATTCATACAGCATTAAATGCTACCTTAAATTTCGGGCTATAGTTCATTTTATTATTTAAAAAATTCGGCTAAGATTTATTAAGTGTGTATGTTTTTATTTTTATTTTTTTCTTAGAAACAACGAACAAAATTAAAATATCGGTCTCTATATTTATAAAATCTCAATTCAAAATATAACAAAAGTTTTAGAATCTCGGTCTTTATATTTATGCCTTTAAAAAAAATTGAACGCTAAAAATATTCTTTAAATTGCATAATCAATCGATTAATCTTAATTTTTTAAAAATTACTATGTTTATTTTTTATTAATATGCATAAAGTAAAAATAATTAATTCATCTTAAGGTATATAATTTATAATCTTAATATACTATCATCTGGTGTAGACATTTATTATATGAATCATAAAATATTTTTATTTCATAAAATTAAATATATTTAAAGAAAATAAGAAAATTTCTTCGGATCAATCAGGTGATTGAATTAGGGTACTGCCCAGGTTGATTGAATTACTTTTAGGTGATATTTAAAATAGTTAAAAAACTTGACATAACTTGGTTGGTCTCAGGTGACTAAGTTATGAATCAGATCGATCACCCCAAATTGATTATTGAATCTAAATATAAATTTTATATTGAAAATATTTTATTACGTGAATGTGAAGTAGTCCAAATTTCAAATAATCGTATTAACAATACTTTTATGACAACATGTTTAATGATTTATGAATATCTATATATCATTTTATTAATATTTATGTGAACAAAAAAATGTTTTATTATAATATTTATTAATGTACACTAAATATAAGGTTCTCAGAACTAGACCGTCATCGAAACGATCAAGTTATTTTATTAAATTATTTGTGGTTTGTTCAGATTTTAATTTATAAATATTTTAATATATACATATATATAGTATTTTTTGTAATAAATTTAAACAAAACGTGTTACTTAGATATTTAAAAAAATTTTAAATTCAAATGTTTAAACTAATTGATAAATAATTTATAAATCTCTATTTTATTTAAATATGTAATTTTATTTAAAATAATTTTAAGTATAATAAAATTTATTTAAAAAATTGTGTCGATTCTACAAATCCAACCGACTGGTGTCGACGGATTCAAAAGCAAATATCTTATTCAAGCAAACTAGACTGGTTATAAATCGGTTCTCCGTCCATCCGGTCGGACTGTGTCCAACCCGGTTTAATGTAAAAACAATACATATATCATGATTAATGATATTTATATATTTAATTTATAATACAATCGTAATATTGTTTTTCCGTGCATTGCACGGGTCACACACTAGTTGTTTGCAATCAAATGAAAGTTTGGTAAGATTCTCTTTTAAATAACACTTGTCAAATTTAGTTGACTGCGAGAGGTATACTTTAAATAACCATTGGTTTTAACTTTATCATCATCTTGAACTTCAATAACTCGTTTACTTAGTTGATACTTTGTTGAGGAACACGTGTCATCCATTATTGATACTCTGTTGAGGAAAATTTCAGGTCTGAATTGAATTGATATATAATGACATCCTTCATTTACCGTGTGTTGTGGAAAGTGTAAGTTTTACTGATAAATTACCCCACAAATTATAGATGGGACGTGTATAATTTTTCCCATATAGATCTTTATTTTTTGGATCACGAATGTTGTTGTTGGTACGTTACAATTAGTAAGTCACATTTTTTTTTAATAAAAAATATGTAATTATATTTTTTCAATAAATATTATGACTTTTAAATTCGAACCTAAACCAGAACAGGTGGTTCATAACATTTAATATTTTGTGAACCGAAATAGGGTCGAGTAAAACCACGCAATCCAAATCATTTAAGGCAAACATCAGATATGATTAATGAATATTTTTAAAAAAATATATATAGGCCCCGTTTGGTAGATAGCGGATTGAAGGTAAATTAGCGGATTGGACTTAATTGAGAGGTTTGACCCGTCAAATCCGCTATTGAGTCTGTTTGATAAATAGCTTATTTGATAAGCTTTTTGGGCTCAAACCTCTAATTTAGAAAAAGCTCATTAGAGGAGCTTTTTGAGGATAGAGGATTCACAAAAAAACTTTTTACTTGGAACTTTTTAATTTTTATTATTTATTTTAAAATCTATATTGGTTTATGGTGGTAATAAATAATAATATGTCATCCATATGATTAATTTATCTAGAAAAATGTAAAATTCATCACTTTTTCATCAAGTTTTAGAAAAAATAATATATTTATAAATTACCAACTAAAGAATATTAAATGTTTTAATATATTATTATTAAAAAAATACACCCTAAATAATAAAATATTCTTATTGGTCATTTTGTAATGTCAAACAGCTATAAGCTTTCAGCTATTTACCAAACACTTATTTAAAAACCGCTAATGCAATCTGCTGGTCAAATCAGCTAATATAATCCGCTATCCACTATCCGCTGATACAATCTGCTATCCGCTATTCGCTATACGCTGATCGCCAAACAAGGCCATAATCCTTCTTCTAAAGAGTTAGGACTCTATAATATTATAATAAATATACACCATAAATAATCAAATAATAAATACTAAGAACTTAATTAATGCACAAATAAATAAATAGAAAATTTCTTTTCAACTTATTTTACTTGTCTAACAAAAAAATCAACAAGAAACCACTTACATTTGTCATATCAATGTTTTAACACATTGAAGATAAATTGGTACGGTGAGAAACTGAGAAGTGAGAAAATGGATAAAAAAATACCAAGATGTGCAAGAGTAGGATTTTCAGATTTTGTAAAAGGGATGGGATGTAATTTACATTGCATCAGTGGACAGGTATTGTGCCCACTTACATTATTGTTTATATATTTATTCTGAATTTGGAATGAAATGGATCAATCCCAATTGAGTGTGGATCAATTTACCCCGACATATTAGGACTGATAAAATTTTATCCCAGCCAAGTCTAATCATGAGAGCTGTAATCAAGTTTACTAAACATGGGATAAACCATGGATAGGGCCTTGAACCCGATCTTACGTGACATACAAATGAAGCCCAAGTATAACTTCTTTCAATTTTTATTTTTTTTTCCAATGAAGTCATCAACTACCTATAACTGGATAAGCACCATGAAGGTCATGACATTGATGCGTGTAGGGCTTCCCTAAGCTGGATCCGGTCATAGTGCAACACTAATGGTTTGCGAATTATAAATCTATATAGCATGGCCATTGAACCCACCACAAAAATACAGATGTTCTGTTTTAGAGCTAACATTGGATTGAAGGCCACATGCCAGGTCCCGATATAGTGTGGCTGACGGATTGGAATTGAAAATTGCCCCTGCATGAATTATTATTTGCATAGTGACCCCATAGAGAAACATGTGATGCATATTAATCCATCAAAGTGTTGGGTTGGTTGAAAAACGTCGATAATTATAAATGTTCGAAATATACGAAGTAATCTTAAGCATAGCAAATCTAGAATTATGATTAAAACTTACTGTTTAAAATTTCAGACTCTGGGAAGACCAACACCAGTGGCGAAACCACATTGAGGGCCGGAGTGGCGCCGGCCCTCCCAAAAAAAAAATTTGGGGGTTTTGGTGAGAGGTTGAGGCAATCGAATGGGCTGGAAATGGAAGGACGCCCTTTGAGCGCCCTTCCGATGCCGCCGGAGGCCCGGAAGAAGATGAATCTGGGCCCTCCCCGTGCTGGGATCCTGGTTTCGCCACTGACCAACACGGTCTATGGGACCAGACGAATGGGTAGCTAAGTAACCTTAAAGTTTTCTGTTGTATTCCCGACACCAGCTCCAAACGTTTTTGTAGGAGATGACTATGCTCTCATGAATATCACGTTGATCAATCTTCGGGAAAGAAATAAGAAGATATTGTGTTTGGAAACACCATCTTTCTCTTTATTTTCTAAAACTTCTAAAATTGTCTTTATCTCTCTTTAATTCACGTGGGAATGTGATATGTGGGAATATGATTCACTTAGAGGAGACTGACTGAAAATTCCATGAGTTGTTTGATGTATTTTATAGGCTACAAGAACGATCTTAATGAGGTTCTAAATAAGGACTCCTCATCAGGGTTCTGAAAATCGGACTGGACCATCCGGTCCGACCGGTTTAACCGAGAACCGGGTAGTAAATCAGTCCGATTTCAGGTACTTAACCGTTGGTGTTCAAAACCGATCAAAAACCGGCAGAACCGGTAAACCGGTGATGATTTGCACGGCCCAGCAGTTGTTTGAAACTAACAGCAATAACCTAAGTTCTAGTTTAAATAGAGTTGCATTCTATTCCGCTTTCGATGTGGGACTAGGATGTATTCCTTGTGTTTGGGGAGTGTTGTTGTTCTTTTTACCGGAGTTAAATCAAAAGATTCGAACACCGGGTCGTGTCTCAAGGAAGGTTAGCCGGATTATTTTGTTCGATTATTCAATTACAAAAGAAGATAAAAATCCTAAACACTCTAATTCAATGATTTGGGTTTCAATTATCAACTACCAACTTTAAATTAAATAAAGCACGAGATGAACAGTAACGAATTAACTGAGAATTTAAAGAGCTAGGGAATCGGGGACAACTGCTTTCGGTTCTTACACAACTACCGGCAATCAATTGCTCGGTTAAAGGAAGTGAATCGTCTCTTGTTTAGAGGTTCACTCTCAATAACTCTTCGTAACAAGAGAGTGAACATATACGATTGACTATCAAATCCAGCAACTCATAGACAATACTTTGACGAACAAGTCTATTCTAAACGAGCCTAAATCGACCA